TCCGATAAATCCGATTCGATCCGATCCGTCGGATCCGGATCGGATTCGGATCGAATCGGATTTTTTGCGGAACACTAGCTGCACATATCTTTAGATATATGCCACTATCCTAAAAGAAGCTGAACATCTCTATGAATTTCCTTATAGGATATTAATCTTCCAAAAATCGCTTGATCACATGCTATGTATAGACGGCCACTTAGGTAAGTCATCACGATACATTTCACAAGCTGCATAGACGTTTTCATTGCAATTTGGTGAATTATCAGGTTTCAATATTACAATATTTGGCGGTAAAGTATTACAACCTATATGTACTTGCTCAATAATTTTCAAGTATACATTTTTCATATCAAATTTATTTGCACAAGTTTCTAACATTGTATTCAATGTATTTTCATACATTATTAAAGATCATCAGTAAATGAAGATTTTCCAAACAGTGGTTGATTAATGGATTCATGATCTCCGATTAGGTCATCAAGAGGGGTTGGAATAGTAAATGGAAATACCATTCGTAATATTGCATGTGATGTTTGTCATATAACATCAAAAATATTGCCATATGAGAATATAGAAGCTTTAAAATTGATGTTGTCAATTATCGCTAAATTCCAAATATTTGTTCCTTCAATTAAATTCTCCCTAGGATTTGTATGAAGTATTCTAAATTTTTCAAGCTGATTTTCATGCCGTTTAGTATAGGATATAATACATGCAGAATGAAGAATCTCTCGTAAGTATGGCAACAGTTTTGGCTTCTGACATATTGATGATATAATATGTGAAAGTCAGATTTTCATTCCAGAAAAAGCAATGGTCAGTATCATGGAGGTTAATAAGGCAGTTGTTTTAATATTTAATTTGTATTGATTAATTTTGGATGAAGTCCATGTTGGTACCTTTTTTTATTAATAACATTTTGTTTTTGTTGTTGTAGTACTATAATGAATGCATGAAAAAAAACTACAAATGATTTTAGGCAATGCATCAAAGTAGCTTTCATATGAGTTTAGATTTTCCAATTGGCCAATATTTTGTTGAATTTCAAAAAGCGAAAATAATACCTCTCTTTCTAATTTATCTCCTATTTTCAAAGCTTTTTCTAGAATCACTATGTGAGTCCTTTCGTTTATTAACTTATTTAGTTCAACTTTTCCCATTTTTAATGCTGTTCTAACGAGTAACTTGCTTGAAAGCTTTGATGCTTTCATTTTTAATAGATTTTTTTCTATCACTTCATTATTAAAAATAGTCAATGTAGGAGTTATTAGAGATAGGAGTTTTTTTTGTAACTGATTGTCACCTGACTCTGCTACTAATATTATCCACATTCCAATATATTTTAGAGCATCACCTGTATCATCACAATGTTTTTCATGTTCGATACATGATACATATTTTTGGCCTTTACCCGATCTTTCATACAAATATCCGCCCTGTTGTTGAAAGCATTTTAAGCAGATATAACATGTATAATAGCCTAATGATAATTTTTTCGCAATAGATCCTTCAGCAAATACAAGACAGTTATGAACACCAATACAAGGTACTTGAATATTACATTTATTAATACTCCATGAATGTTTTTCATAGTTGCTACCACAGCTAAAGAAACTTTTTTTTATTACAGAAAATACAGAAGTGAAAATGGACAATACTCTGCTCAATTGAATGTGATTGCTTCATGTCTTTATCATGAAGTTGATTCTGATTAAAAAGAAAATGATTATAATATATTCCAAGCTGATGAAGATCACTCTTAATATTTTTAACTGCATCTATATCTATCTCCCATGTCTTTATCATTTGCTCTAATCGTCGAAGGTTTGTTATACTATTACAACGTTTTATTTCACCTTGAATAACATTCATAACTATACATGGTGTTAGGGTCAGACTTTGCACAGAGGTCTTTTCAATTTTTATATCTATGTCATCATTTATTGTTTGAAAGAAATTATTATAGTCTGAATTTTCAGGTCCTTCAAGTTCAACCTCACTCTAATCCACATCATCATTTTCATCACTATTTAATAGGGCTCGAGCATTTGCAAGAACAATTTGATCAATATCATTTTCATTTATTTCTTCGGGAGCGCTAGTATTGTATTTCTCAAAATTCATAGGAGTAAATTTCAAATCACACATTTTTGTTTTGAATTATTCAAGATTTATGAATTTATTATAACAATATAACAAATAATATAAGAAGAATTTAGAAGAGAATTGGCATCTTTATTAACGTTCAAAGAAGGGCAAGCAAAAAGCTAAGTATATTTATCTGTTATACTATCTGCTATTTAAAATTTATTTATTTCTAACAGCTAACAGCCTTCTCGTTAAAAATATTAGTGATAGGGTGAAGCTGATCCAAAGGTTGCCAAAATGACGCAAAATGCAATAATATCAGATATCTGTTAATTGTTGAATTGATGACATAAGGTTCAATTCAACAATATCAAATTATTAGTACTAACTGCTAATTCTCACCAAGTTCCATCTCTGAACCCGGTTTACCAGCTGAAATTCCATATTTGATATTACTAATTGATGTTAAATTCCTGGGATATCGATCTTCTGAATCTGGTTTACTAGTTAAATTTCATGGGAAAAATTATAATGGATTCGGCTTAGTAATTAGTTAGCCCATAATACACGCACAAATAAAGTATAGATTTTTATTGTGAAGAACAAAAAAGAGGTGAAACATTATTTTTATTTATATTTATGACTTTAACAAATTACATCACTAATTTATGCTATTATTTTTATTATAGAATTGGTTCTTGAGTTGGGTAACGGCTTATTTCTAAGATCCGGTAAATCCAAGTTATCTTAAGACTATATAATAAATTAGTTGGCTAACTGGTTAATCGTATAATAATTTGTTTCATCTAACATTAATTCCCTATAATTGATACTTACCTTATTAATAAAATATTTTCCTTTATATTCATATTAATCTGAAGAAATTTCTTAAATTTGGTGTCAACTTATCAATTGTACTTTCAACTTAAATTATTTAATAGACTAGACAAATGTGGTTTTTCAGAAGAAATCAATAAGCGAAGGTATAATATGAGTATAAATGTTTAAAGAAAGCTATTAAAGAGTAATAAAAACTATATATTATAGGGTTAGAACAAAAACTTCAAGCGGAGATTCTCTTTAAATTAAAAAAATAATGAAAGTTGTGACTTTTGCAATATAATAAAAAAATGGCACAAATATATTTTTATTAGATATTAATAGACAATCAGTTTCACAAACATGCGATTATCATAGAAGAAACCTTTTATGAACGAAAAATTTTCATATAAAATTTAAGTGATTGACATTTAAATTACCCTATAAATAACATTTTGAACCTGTATACTGGGACATGTCCCATGACTGATAAGTAAATCGAAAGCAAATTTTTAGGTGATTTTTTTTTTTTTATTTTGTAGAAATATTTTTATTTGAAAATAAAATAAGTAAATCAAAAGTAAGTTTATGATAAATTTTCTTTCTTTTACTTATTTTTTTTAAGGAATTTCTTATTTTAGAATTAAGATAAGCAAATCAGAAGTGATTTTTTAAATAAAAAGTTAAACATTTTCCTTTCTTTTTCTTATTTTTTTTTAAGAAATTTCTCATTTTAAAATTAAGGTAAGCAAATCAAAAGTGATTTTTTAGATGAAAAATTACCATTTTCTTTTCTTTTTCTTATTTTTTTATTAAGAAATTTTTATTTTGGAATTAAATTAAACAAATAAAAGATGATTTTTTGAGTAAAAATTTGCTATTTTTCTTCTTTTTTTTGTTTTTAGAAAAATTTTTATTTTGAAATTAAGGTGAGTAAATGTATATTAATTTTTTGTGTACTATAACCTAAATGATCATGATCTGTAATATCATTAACATATAGATCACAAATTGATTTACTATTTTTATGTCAACTGTGTTTAATTTAATATCTTTGATTTATTCATGTTAATAAATTATTTAGTGTTAAACAACTGCTTTGTTCTAACAACTGTGTTTGAATCACTAACAAGTTAAAGTATTAATATTATGAAATACTTTAAGCTATGTATTACCAACTTGATTATAATAAATCATTTTAACGTTATCAAGGTAATTTTTCTAATATTAAAGGAAATTATGAGTCACGCATAGTGAATTAGAAGTCTTCATATTTGCTAATTCAGAAACTTAATCATGAAAGTACATCAATGTCATTTGAAGTTTAACATAATTAAAGTCTCTTTCAATTTATCATAAAGATTGAGTTAAATCTTACTGCTACTCAATTGATTATGTCTTTTAGTCTGCCTAATTAATAGTTAGGTAACAGTACATATTATATAATATAAAATATGCATAAATTATTACTAAAAATAAATAAAATTTTATAATAAATTATTATGATTTCATAATTTAAGAATAAATTTATCAACTTGTGCACATATTTTTTAACTTAAATTTTACATATCCTTTAATTATAAATCATAAAAAAATTGGTAATAAATTGTGTTATATTTGTTCTAAAATAGGTACAGTTACTCCTGTTTTTCTGCTATACTTCACTTAGTTGCAAATATTATCTTCTTGACCCTCATCATACTACTTTCTTAACCTATCATATGCATATTGCAGTTATACAATAGGAGGTTTACTAAGTAAATAGGGTTCTGAGAATTTTTTAACTAAAATTTAAATTCTTATTGCATTTTTATCTAAAATTAAAATTTTAATAAAAAATTCTCAGAATCCCATTTTCCTAGCAAACCTCCCCAATAGTAAAGGAGGGTCAAAAAGATAATTTTTGCCATTTAGATAGAAACGATCATCCTACGGAATTTAGTGATTAACCGGTTAATTAACCGTTAATATTTTTAATGGAACTTTATATTTGATTGATCAATTAAATAAAACAATCCATCCCTAATAATAATTTTTTTTTATTTAATTTTATTTGTTGCTTTTAAATAAGAATCCGCCTAATCATAAATTTTTAAAACGCGTAAATTAATTATGAGTTGTATAGTACTATAAAGAACTAATTTTTTTTTTATTTAGATATATTATACATACATATACTGTATATTATATACTATATTTAAACTTTTACTTTCTTAGATAGATTCGCTCTTAAGAATTTCCTTTGTTAAAGATCTTTATCAAATACAAATATTAATAATCTTCAATTCACCGATTCGAAAAAAAAGATGCTTAACGTAAGTCATGTGATCGCAACATCATAACCTTGATTCGATAAAGAAAAAAGAAAATTAAATCGAGTTTAGGGGTTTACGGTAAAATCTCTAAATGGATAAACATACAATAAACCTAGCCAATCCCATTGAATTAATTATTAACCTTTGACAAATCTCGATTACAAGATCATCTTTAGCGATTAAAATATTTTTCCTGTGAGAAATTATCAATTCAGAGAATAAATTTTTGAAAATTGAGGCGAAAGTATAATGATCTTAATTTCTTTCGTCGTCGTTGAATTCTTCATCTCCTGCTTGTACAATCACATGATTATTCACATGATTTTTAAAATCTTAAGAGATCCTGGGACTGTGTCCGCAGGACAGTTGGGACATGGACCGATATTAGATTATCTTTTGGCCAGAATTAACAAGAAATATGGCTAGCATTAATGCGGACAAAAAGTCCCGGACATAAAAAAATCTCGGACATGGACACGGTCCCGGTCTCCGTGTCCACAACACTGCTGAAAGGTGCCATTAATAAATAAGTTAGATCCAGAGGTACCAAAATAATAAAAAAAAAACTTGAAATCACGTGACTCTACAATATTATCTCGCGTAAAAATATAGTTTTTTATTATGGGAAAAAAAGGGATGATAAATAAAATAAAATAAAAAGCTAGTTCAAAGATAATACAAGAACTCGTTTCATAAATGGTTTAAATGATTTTTCTAACGTTACAATCATTGTATACAAATATTATGATATATTTTTTTTTTACAATTTAGCTTTTGATTTTCCTCCCGCCAAGACATCTCCAAGTTTTGTAGCAAGCATCATATTACCTTTGATCTATATAAAAGATCAATGATGTTTAGTAATCAACCAAGTTAAATTAATATAAGACAACAAAATTATACCAAATTCACCTGAAGCTTGCCAGTCATAAACGCTTTTTGTGCATTCAATTTGCCACTCGCTAATTCCAAGAAATCAGCATCACTAACTCCAATTGTTGCATCAGCTTTCTTTGGTGATGGCCCAATGCCAACTGCACCATCTCCTGTCTTAAAGTCTATGTACCATGATTGTTTCTTGTCTTCAGAATTTGTAATATTTATTTGGAAAGAACCTTTTACCTTTAAAGTTAAAAAATCAAATAAAATTATTATTAAGATATTAATTAATTTTTGCGATTTAATAATTAATTAATTATCTATATAAAATACACAATACCTTCTTTACTTGTGCTTGTCGTTCTGCTGGAGAAGCAACATCCAATCCTGCTTTGAGCTGTTCAAATACGGAAGATGATTGGAACCCAGGTACGGAAATACCAACACTTGGAGTTGCTGAGGGAGCTCCCAAACCGGAACCATTAGGATCTCTCAATTCTACAGCAGCTGACGTAATACAGATAACATCGCGTTCAACTACACGGGTTTGAAAAATTACCTTATTGCCATCCTATTTATAATTGGAAATATTGAATAAGATAAGTATATGTAATATGTTAAATATCCAATCAAGTTAATAGAAAATATCAACCTTCCACATTTGAGTTTCAAGTGTTTCGCCGGGGAATACAGGTGCTGCTAATCGAACTTTGATATTCTTGAAAGTATTTGGATCATTTTTACCAAATGTAGACAAAATATGTTTACCGGAAATACCAAAAGTACACATTCCATGAAGAATGGGAACATCAAAACCTCCCATTGCAGACATACTAGGATCAATGTGCAATGGATTATAATCTCCACTTAAACGATATAAAGCAGCTTGATTTTCACTTGTCTTCTCCTTTACTACAGCATCCGGAGCGCGTTTTGGTGGAATATTTGAAGCTGTAGCAGCACCACGATCATCACCATTCTTTTTGCCACCAAAACCTCCAATACCACGAATAAATAGAGTTGTTTGATTTTCAAATATAACTTCGCCTTTTTCATCTGTAGTAGTTATACCGAAAATAAACGATACCCCCTTGCCTTTATCAAGAATATCAATCACATACGGTGTTGAAATTAATTTTCCAGAAGTAGGAATTGGTTTCTTAAGCTCAAGATATTGTTCACCGTGTAAAAGCATCATCTACAACAAATTAAATTTTAGAATATCATTAAGTGTAAAAAATATAACATACATTAGAATTATATATACCACATTGAAATCGCCAAGAACTTCAGTTAATGGGAATGTATTGGAAAGAATGATTGCTGGGATGACACCAAATGTTGGTATAACAGAGAAATTGTCACTGTTTTCATAAACCCATTGTAAGTCTTTGCGAGTTGCGCCAATACCTAACGCATAAAGAATTACATCTCTCTCTTTATATTCAAATACATTAGGTTCGAACTTTCGTTTCTTTGCAACTTCCACATCGATCTTATTATTACTTTTAGATTTAGATTGTCCGGATTCAGATTTTTGAGCGTTAGCAAAGTTTTCAAAGAATTGTTGAAGGGCTTCTTGTGTAGTTGATGGATGAGTGGAACGCCCATCGTCAAAATTAGTTATTATATCCATTTTTGAAGCTATATCTTCAGGAGTTAGAGCTTTGGATGTAGTAAATCCAATTCCACCGGCCCGTTGCCAGCGAACTTGAGCAGCCCAACCACCACCCACTTCAAAAACATTTCCAGTTGAGGGACACACTTCATGAGCGAGGAATGCAACAAATGGTGCAACATAATCAGGCTTGAAAGCCTCAACCATATCCGGTGGCCATATTGTAGCTGTCATACGAGTACCAGCGTTTGGTGCAATTGTATTAACAAGAATATTACTCTTACGTCCCTCCAAAGCAAGGGTATTGCTGAATCCCAAAATACCGAGCTTAGCTATAATTTAATTAAATAAAAATTTAAAACACTTATGAAATGTTTAATGTAAAAAATATTATTATTCAAATAAGTTAATTTCTAACCCGTGCTATAATTTGCTTGACCAAAGTTGCCGTATAAACCGACAGAAGAGGCTGTGTTGATAATACGACCATATTTTTGTTTTGTAAAATAAGACCATGCAGCTTTAGTAACTTTGTAAGTTCCACGCAAATGAACCCTTTGAACCAAATCCCAGTCCTGATCTGTCATTCTAGCAAAAGATTTATCTCTAAGGATACCAGCATTATTGACAATAATATCAACGCGACCAAAAGCTCTAATTGCGGTTTCAACA